TGGTATTGAATTCAGCTTCATGTGCACCCGCACTCCTGGTGCTACAAATCCATTAAAAACAGTTCCCCAAAGACAAACACCGAGAGAGAGAGAGAGAGAGAGAGAGAGAGAGAGAAATGAGACTATATGCAAGAGCATGAGAACACAGCAATCTTATAAATCTAGAAATTATTTTTAAGGACAAGAAAAAGAAGGGCAAAATGACACGAAGTCACTCCGGGCAAGTCGTGTTAAAATGCCCGCACTTCTTTTCGGATCCTGGGAATGTCCACGTTCAAATAAACAAGCACCAGAGCTCGAGCTGAGCGCTTTCTTGCTGCCGATAAAGCGGACGTTTAGACTGTGAGAAAGGCAAGATTGATTTACGCATCTGAACACACCGGTTTTATGGCCGATCACAAATCCGTCAGCGCTCAACTCACGCTGGGAAACTTCCCAACTCCGTTTTCCAACCAGACCCCCTCCCCAGTCGCAGCTTCCCAAGGAGACCCACCTCGGGGCGCTGAGGCGGCTTCCAGGGCTCTGACTGCACTGGGCAGCCCCTCTGCCCAGACTGGCAGGCTGGAGGGTAGAAGTAAGGGAGTGGGGAGGGCTCAGGGAATTGGCGGGGAAAGATAGGTTAAAAGATTGGAAGGCCTAGCACCCGCTTGCTCAGGGTGGCCCTAGAATTGTACAAAGTGAGCCCAGAAAGCTGTCTCTAAGAAGGTTTGGGTCTGGGAATGGGGGAAAGGGGAGATCTTGCAGTTTTGGCATAGGGCAGGAGGATAAGACCCTTTAATGAAGCCCAGCCTTCTTCTCCTACAGTCGCCTTTTTTTTTTTTTTTTTGGAGTCACGTCTCACTATATAACCCAGGTTGGCCTCTATTGAACCCCACCCAGATTTCAGAGTTCTGGGGTTATAGGAGCACATCGCAGTTTTAAAATTTTCTTTTTTTTTTTGTCAGTGCTGGAGATAGAACCCAGGGTTTCATAGGCAAGCACTCTACCACTGAGCTACATCCCCAACTCTCTTCTTTCCTTTTGGTGGATCCCTAATCCTCATATTGCAGAGAGCAATTCATAAAATCATAGGTGACTAGGTCTTTGTCACTGGTCCTACAGAGGGGGCCCATAATTGTTTATCTGTCTGTTTTGATAATGAGTGCACATTTTCCCCAAGTCCCAAATATTTTTAGTCAAGGAGTAGCCCAGCTTGCCTTTCTGCTCACCCTTTTCCTTCCTGAGGCTTCCAGTTCCTCCTTATGCCACTCAGGGACAAAGAAGAGGATACCAATCACCCCGTTAGGTTATGTCTTCCCTAAAAGAGTCCCCAAATTATAGGAAACAATTTATAAAATGCAAACCAACACCTCACAGACATTCCAGAAAGTTTCTATCTCTCCTTGTCTCAGTTCAAGGGGAGCGTTTCTACTTTCCAGCCAGAGTAAAACCACAATCAGTGTCTCTCTCTATCGCTATCTCTCTCTTCTCCCCATCTCCTTCCCCTCTCTCCCCCACACACCCATGGCTGCCTTTTTTTTTTTCTTAAGATACAGCAAATAGCACAATTGGGAAAGGTTCTATGTTCTAGGCTCCCCTCTTAGCAAAGCTTCCACCCATCTCTCAGCATTAAAAGTTGCTGCAAACTTTGGTTAGCTTGGCAGAGCTTGCCTTAGGAAGTGGTCAGAGTGCCCTGTACTGATCTTCCTTCCCCTCCCCTAGTAGCTGAGGCACTCAAGATTCTGAGTAGCTGGGGTAGGAGTGGGAATTAAGGGAAAAGGTGATTATTGGAATAGCTTCCTAAACAAAGGAACTTCAGATAATGAATTGAGAGGCTGTGGATTTGGATGAGAGAGAGAGAGAGAGAGAGAGAGAGAGAAGAGAGGGAGGGAAGGGAAGGGAAGGGAAGGGAGATTTGCAAAGAAATGTTCTTGTAGGAGCCCTCTCTCTCCTTATAGCTCAGGGGCTTATTCGTCTGACCTTCCTGAGCCCGGTAGATTGAGCCTGTCCAATATCTTGTATTGTATCCCTTTGTCTCTCTATCCTCAGTTTCCTTCAAGTGAAGCTGGAAAGAGAGATGAACTGGACATGGTGGGGAGAGGTTTAAGGAAAGGGCTATGTACAGACAGACCAGCACCCTACTTGCCCCTGCCCCCCACTGAACCTTTTGGCTAACATTTTTATGTTTTCTCCCCAATGGACCATAAATAGAAAAATAATACAGAAATTCTAAGGTGACAAAGAAGGGTTTGGGGACTTGAGGGGGATGGAGAAGATGGGACATATGACAGCTCAAGGACCCTCCCTGCAGAGGTGTGACTTTCCCTCCTGGGCAGGAGGCAAGAGCCAACACAATGTCCAGTCTAAGAGAGGTCAAGGGGCTTCCGAGGTCATTTTGTGGTTCTAATACTGAGCTAATCGCCTAGAAAACGTGGCCTCTCCATGAACTCTCTCTCCTGCCAGCCTCCCTCCTCCAAACTAAGAGAGGCCTCAGGGAAAAAGAGCCAGAACATTCAGGTCTGACTCAGAGCCCATGACTCCCTCAGCCTGAGAAGCTGGGCCCCAGTGGAAAGAACAGAGCCCCCAAGTCGAGAAAGCCAAAGGAAGCCATACTGAACACTGAGCCCCAGGAAGAAGGCCAGGGGACAGAGCCAAAGAGGAATATTTCTTTGTCAGTGCACCTCGCCTGGGAACTGGGCTGTTTCTTGCTCCAGAGAGGAGCACGGGAAAGCACAGATTTGCCTAGAGTCCCAAGCTAGACGCAAGAAAAAACTGGCCACGTCCCTTTCTATCAGCTCCAAGACTAGGGCACTCTGTCCAAGAACTGATTCCATTTTTCCAGGAGACAGCAGTGACAACTTCTCACCAGTACACAGGCATAGGGACATAAGTCCTCAATGCAGAATGCAAACAGAGTCCTAGGAATACACGGACCACACGCACTTTGCTAGACACGCGTGCACATACACACAGGCAGGCTCTTCCCTAGCCCTGCGCTTTCCAAAAGCAGAAAAGCACTTCTGAGCTGCCTCACAAACAATTTTCTTCTCTGGGGTTTTTCAGTGGCCCTGACACCTCAGTTCTAAGCAGTTCAAACACTTTCCAGGTGTCCAGCAAGGCTTCTCTCTTACTCTCTCTCTCTCTCTCTCTCTCTCAAAACATCAGTCAACATAAAAGGCAGCAAACCTGCACCGGTATCCACCATAAAAGCCCCACAAAGATAGTTGAAAAAGAAAAAGGAGAGAAGGCGAGAGAGTGTTTCTTCTTTTGTTTGTGAAAAGAGCTCATAAAACGATCAAAAAAACCACACCAGCCCAGGCTGGGGCTTTGTTACCTTTGCTCCTCTTGCCTCTTCTCGCCTGAGCTCTGCCGGTCTCATTCATGATGAACGGCTTCTTCCAAACTGAGAGAAAAAAGTTTTCAACTTTATGGTTCCAAATTTTGTCCCCCTCGCAGATCTGGGAGAGACGGCTAACACTTTTTTCCCCCAACAGCCGGTCTGCGGAGATTTGCTGTTGAATAATAACAAAGGAGAGAGGATACGTATTTAAAGAAAAGAAGTGATTAATGGTTTTCTGTATAATTCTCACATTTTTCTTAGCTCTTGTCTACACAGAATGGCTGTGAACTTTAAGCTCCATAGAAATCTTTTTTTTTTTAATTCTATTCATACCTTCCAGGGAACAGCTTTGATTTGGTTCTATAGAGACATTCTTGGGGGGTGCATATTGCTTTTTAAGAACTATTTTGCCCCTCAGCTACAGGCCACTGCACCCCCTTGCACCTAAAACATCACACCAAGACCCGACGGAACCAACGCTCACCCCCTCACCCTCCTCCAGGTCTGGGGCGAGTCTTATTATTATTATTAATTTTAATCAAATACCGGTATTTGAATCGCCCATTCCCGCACTGGGGATACTGGCCCGATGGGTTCCCCAGCCCTACCCAGCCTCCAACCACTGGTCTGCAAACTGAAGAAATGCAACATAAATAACAATAAAACATGTGGATGAGATTGGTTCTTTATTTTCTGGAAGGAAACGGGACCAAAAAAACAAAACCAAAACAACTTATAATTGCATATGTTTTCTGCAGTCCCAGGCTTTTTGGATGAGGGGTGGTGGCACCCTGGACCACCACAGAGACCCTGAGGCTGTAGTCCCAGACCTTAGAAGTTCTTAGCAGTGTTGCACAAAAGCAGTCCAAGCTTTCTGAGCATCACCTGCACCCCTTTCCCTTCCCCCACTCCATTCTAGGGGTGACTGGGACCTCAGAGACAGACAGCTATTTGGTCCCCAGTCATACTTTCGATACTTTCTATGAGAAAGAAAATGAAAATTAATACAGGAGCAGGGCTTCACAAAAGAGGCCATTTGTCTTCTTGATTATCTATTTGCTTGTCAGAGTTTGAGCTATGGCACCGGCTAGCTCCTTTGTAATATAAAAATACTCTGAAAACCTGCAAACACCCAGAAACATCTGTGCAAAAAATTAGACTCATTAAAACCTTAAACACCTCAGAGGAAAGCAATACCTTCTTACGCAGGGAGGAAAGAGGCCGGCTTGGTGGAATCCTCTCCAAACTTTAATAACCAAAGAGCCGTCTGTCTAGAAGGAGACAGCTTAACCGCATTTTATTTGCTTATGACAAATAAATCACGATATGAAAGGCTTTGCCATACTTAAGCCTCTTGTGTCCTACAGTGAAACATTACCACCCCCCATTAGGGACTGGAATCAGCCCTCCCAGTCCTTCCAATCCATTTTTGGGCTGGAGGGGAAAAAAATTAAAAGACCCAAACAAACACACCCACCCCAAAAGGGAAACAAACCTGCTATACCACAATTTGGAATCCTCTGAGAAAGAAATTCCCATCAGAGTCTTAAAAAAACAAAACAAAACAAAAAAACTTCAACCACATACACAGTGAGGTTAAACCCACTAGGTGCTTAACATATTCACTGGGCGGCATTTCTCCATATTTTACCATCAAGTTTCCAACAAAAACACGATGTGATGGTCACAAGAAACCAGACATTTATTTCTATTGTCACTCTGTACAGGACACAAATTTTCACACCAATGAAAGTTTCTAGACTCAGGCAGCCCCAGAGGTAGGAAGGGGCCTGGTTTGGAATGTCAGAGAACAGAAGACACACATGACATAAAATAATAGTAATAATAATATTAATAATAATAATAAAGGAGGCAACATGATAAACGGTGGGAGAGAGCTCTGCAACATTGTCCCCCCCAGGGTGGGAGGGCCACGACATTTTTATTTCCTAGTTTCACATTCATTTTCAGTCTAAGAGAGGGCCTCTGGACTGGCCAGAGGGTCATGCCCAGCTCACAGAACTCAACTGGAACCTCACCCTGTCAGGCATGGTTCGCCTTCCCCTCTCCTCCCGGGGTGTCCTGGTCTCTATTTTTTTCTTTTTCTCGGACTCAGTTTCCCTGCCCGTTCCTGCGTTGTCAAGGCCACCCCTCTTCCTTCTGTTCCCCTTCCAGCCCCATGGTGGAAGGGGGGGAGCAGTCATTGTCCCCCATGAATAAGCACAGAGTGAGGGAGGTTGTGTGTGTGTTTGTTACCGTGGCCAAAACACTGTGCTATCTGGCAGTCAGAGGGTGCTTTCGGCTGGGTGTCAGGAGTGGGGGACAAAGAAAGAAAATCCAGGCTGTCTTCCAGCAGCGGCAGCAGCAAAGGCGGCGGCAGCCGAGCCGGGCCTCATTTGTTAGCCGAGTGTCGAGGTAATGGTCGCCACCGAGGCCCGTCCTCTCCTCGGCAGAGTAAACAAGACAGATGGGCCCGGGCCTGGCGTGATTAAAGATGAAACGTGGATCCATCTTCACCAAAGCTGAAAACGAGGAGCTGCAGCCTCCTCCTATTTCTCTTTCTGTCTTTTTCTTTCTTCCTTCTTCCTTTTTCTTTCTTTCTTTTTTTTTTTTAAAGGAAGAAAGCAAGAGACTTGAATCTTGCTTCTGGGGAGCCTCACCCGGCTCCCTATTGTCATTTCTATAAATAAAGCTCCCCTATCCCTCCTTCTCTGTGTTTATTCATATATAGATAAAGTGGGGGAGGGGAGATAGGTTTTCCGGGCCCAAGCCCGAGGGTGGGGCCCCCTCCCGCACCCCGCACCCTTCCCCTCTGCGCTCGCTGCCCACCCCCGTTTCCCCAGGTTCGCGGCTCCTGCTTGGGGGACCCTAAAGTGCGGGGGGACCTCCGTTGGGCCGGCCAGGGGGCCCTGCGGCTGTGCCTGCGGTGCCACCCGAGCGTATCTTGGTGTTGGGCAACTTGTGGTCTTTTTTCCACTTCATGCGCCGGTTCTGGAACCAGATCTTGATCTGGCGCTCCGACAGGCAGAGCGCGTGGGCGATCTCCACCCTCCGGCGCCGCGTCAGGTAGCGGTTGTAGTGAAATTCCTTCTCCAGCTCCAAGACCTGCTGGCGAGTGTAGGCGGTCCGAGAGCGCTTGGGCTCCCCGCCGGCGTAATTGGGATTTACTGGACACACACAGAGAAAGGGAGAAAGAGAAAGTTTTATTGCCCCCGAAAGGGAGGGGGGAGAGCCTTTTCTTCCAGCTAACAGTGTCGCCCTCCCTCCTCTCTCTCGCCACCTCTTCTTCCTGGGAGGAGGGTGTGGGGGGAGGCGAAAGGGGAAGAAAGCGGGACACAGGAAGAGAAAGACCTTAAAGTTTTGGAAGATTGTGTTTTCTTTCCTCGTTGGTGTTGCTTGGGGCGGAGGGGCAGAGAGGAATTGTCCTAAGGTTTCAATCGCTCCTCTCTCCTCCCGGGCCTGGGGCCCCGGGGTGGGAGAATGAGGGGTGGAACAGGGAGGGGTGTTTCCCTAAACCTTGCCTCTGTCTAGTTCCCACCCTCACTGCTCACATTCCAAGCAGTGCCTTCCCCTAGTAAAAACTTCTGCCCACTTCTCCAGTCAAGGAGCCAGACTGGAAGAAAGGAAAAAAATAAATACCGGGAGTTGACTCAACTCTGCTTAAATACGGATTACTACCTCCTCCTCCTTCTCCTCCCCTCCTCCCATACCCCTCCCCAACTTCCAACTTCACTGAGACTGCATCTCCCTGGCGAAAAAGTCGCTGGTGAGAATGGGGAAGAGGATGGGGAACCGACTTCAAAGGCGCAGGGCCCACCAGGCCATAAAAATTTATGGGGGATGTAATTATGTGGTTCTGAAAACAGGCGACCGTAAATCTCTGGCAATGGCGAGTTTATAGCGGGGACAATTGGCTTCCCCCAGCTCCCGCCCCCATGCCTCCGAGGTCCCTTCGGTGTAAAGAGCCAGGGGTGGGAGGGGAAGGGGTGCCCACGCACTCACCCGTGCTCACGTGAACTTTGCGCATCCAGGGGTAGACGACGGGCTCTTTGCACGCGGAGTGGGACGGGTTGGGATGCAGGGGGTTCTGGGCGCAGGGAGGCGGCGGGGGACTGCTGCTGACCGCCTCGCAGCGCTGGCCGGGCTCCGGGAGGAGGCCCCCGGCGGGTGGTGGCACAGGAGCCCGAGGGGACAGCCCAGGCGGTGGCGGGGGCGGCGGGGGTGGTGGCGGAGGCGGCGGGGGCCCGGGGTCTCGGCAGGCCGCGTAGCGCTGCACGGTGCATGCCGCCCGCCGCCCGAAGCCCGCCTCCGGCTGGAAGCTGCTCTCTCGCCTCTGGCCGCCGGCGTAGTACCCGGGCGAGTGGTCGCTGGGTAGGTAATCGCTCTGTGAATATTCCTCGCACGGAGGGAACTTGGGGTCGACATAGTTTGAGTTGATCAAAAAAGAACTCATAGCCATTAATTTCTGGGAATTGCCCACAAAATATACTAAAATTTATTCCGACCCCTGACTCGTTTTCCTGTTTCCGAAAGCCCTCCTACTTACTGTCAAGTGAACAAAGTTAGAGGACCACGTGATCTTCCGAGCCAATGGCCACCCCGCCTGCGATTCCCGGATAAGGAAATCTGCTCACCCGGACCCTACTCCAGCCAAAGAGGTTTATTTCCCCTTCTTCTCTTCCCCCACTCCCGACCCACCCACCCAACACCAGGATTTACATAGGGCTCCTGCGGGGCGACCCCCTCCTCGCCTTGCTGCCTCCGACATCTGAGAGAGGCAGAGGGAGGGAGAGCGCGAGAGCGAGCAGGTTGTGACTGGAGGGCCTCTTGGGGCGCTGGGCAGAGCGCAATCTCTGGATCCCCTAAGAAGTTGAGGCTCCCGGTGTATCCCCTCCTGTCCTGCCCTACCTCCGCCCAGCATTCTCTGTTCCCTTAGGGTCTCCGCTCCTCCCCAGGGCGAGAGGGATCCATGCAACCTGCGTCTGTGTGGGGAGTTAAGTGACTGGTGGGCTGAGGGTTCCGCTTCAAAAGGGGCACCCACTGGGGGCGAGGGGCACTGAGCTTGGGGTTTTTCTCCGCAGCCAGATGCAGAGGGGTAGGGGGTGAGAGAGGAGGCGTGGGGAGCTAGAGGGCGGTGCGCGAGGGACTTGTCAGAGATGAATGGAACCGCGGGCGGATCGATAGGAAATTCATGCACTAATTCGGGGAGACCTTGCTTTCCAAATCGCATTTAGCTGCGCTATTAACTTGGCCGTATCAGTCAGTCCGTCTGTCCCCCTTCTCCTGTCCACTCCTCCTTTTCCCCCACATAGCCCCAGCTCAGAGAAACGACTTGATTTCCCACACTGAAGCGCTAGAGTAAAAAACCCTGCAACTTTTTGAGAGCAAATTGAATAGCAATTTGCTAATTCCAGAACCAACCGAGCAATACTAACCATGGCGCCGAGACGTTCTAATTGCCACTAAAGTCGACGCCGCCTCCGTGGCAAATAGAAATCTCACATCCTTGTGATGCTGGGGATAGGAGCCCTAGCGGTGACCCCCCGCTCCCTCCCCCTGCACACACACACTCAATAACACCCCTGGCAATCCCATATTTCCAGAGCATCTTGTTCTAAACCTAAACGGAAAGGCGACCTCAGCATCCGTTTAAAATGCGAATTTCCTTTCCTTTGCCCATTGTAGGTAACAATCATTTTTTCGGAATTTCCAATACCACCCCCCCCAGCCCAGAATAGAAAATAGGTGGGCTTGGGATAGGAGGGTAAATTTTTTTAAAAAATCACATTAACCTCTGAAGACAAATGAAAAAGGGAACAAGGCTTCCAAGGGCGCATGGAGAGAGTTCAGGTAGTTGATCCCCCTCTCTCTAACCAGTTGAGGGAGGGAAAGAAAGAGAAAAAAAAAAAAAGGAAGAAATCTTCTCGAGGTCAGTCACTGGATTGTCCTCACCTAGAAAAATAATATTTTTTCTTCTGGAAAAAAATGAGCGGAGTGTTTATGTCAACTACATATTCCCCTAGATACGAATTTGTGACCACAAAATTCCTTACACAAATTCGGATCTACAGGGTATATACAGAAGACAGACAGATCTTCTTTGCCCAGAAAAATTTTCCAGTTCTCCTACTTTCCAAGCGCGTTCTTCCTTTGGGGTGGTTTGAGTGCTTTCGTTTTATTTCGTTTTGTTCTAGTTTTGAGCTCTGGGAGCAGAAAAAAGGCACTGAGGGTCCGTTCTTGGGATTACAAGGTTTTCCACTCTTCTCTTCTATTAGAAATAGAAGCAGTCTGTCCCAAAAGGGACTCGAACCGCGTGGCCGCCGCGCAACTCTCGCAACTCTGGCGCATGAATTATGAGATGTAAACAACACTAGCTAAGCACAAAAGGAGGAAGGGTCATCCTGAGGCTGCCGCGAAGTCTGAATCAGGCCCTTCTGGGTGCCCTCCCGCCCTCCCCTTCCCCTAGACTTTTTTTTTTTAAGGGGAAAAAACCAAAAAAACAAAACAACAACAACAAAAAACCCCAAGAGCTCCTTTCGTGCCCCTCACAGCCTTTAGTTGCCTTTAGTTTGCGATCAAACGAATATCTAGATATTTTCCAAAGCACGTCTCAGAAAAGGGAGGAGGGAGAGGCGGCTGGGTGTGAAGGGGTGTAATAAAAGTCCTTTTGGAAAAATTCAATGGTAAAAAGAGAGAGAAACAGCTGTAAAGAAAAATGCTGGGAGACCAAGCAGATGGGGTCCCGGATATTTAATGACGGGCAATTCCGTTTACAACCTGAGAAAAAGATCAAAGGCGTTTCATTTCCGAATGAAGGGCAATGAGGAACCATAAAAGATGCAGCCAGATGATGGGTTGGCCCCTCCCAGCCTCCCATACATTCTGGGGACCAGAATAAGGGGACAATCCCCAGAGGTGTGGGGAAGACCCAGGGTTGCCCACCTCCCTAGCCTCAGGCTGATGCTTTCTGTCTAAACACACCCACTAACTCATCCTAGCCACCTGCCTGGGTCGCTGGCATTGGGGCCAAAATGGGAATCTGGAGTTTCTGAACCAACTTGCTGAGTTTACTAAAGTAGGAGACTGGGGACTGGGCTGGAGGGGACTGAAGCTTAGACTGAAAGCTGTCACCAGGTGAGGGGAAGTGTGCCCAAAGAAACCTTCTCCTAACCCAGACCTCCTTCCCCCATCTCCCAAGGTTTGGGTCCCTACTGAGCAAGTCAGAATACTATCAATTTCATTAGCAAAAAACAAAAGCAAAACAATCCTCTAACCACCACCTTCCAGAGGTCTCTGCCCATCCCCAGTCCTGGATTCTGTAGGTCTGCAAAAGAGCTCACACCTACAGGTAACTAGGTCCAGAGATCCTCTGATTTTTGTTTGTTTGTTTGTTTTTTGTCTCAAGTCTAGGCATTGCCAATATTGGCCTCTGGGCCTGATTTCTAACACCAACGCTCTTCCAACTAGGACAGACCCACACATAATTGGGGGAAAACAATTACATTGTAGTTGTTATCTTTGCCAAGAGAGGGCCGAATTGATAATCTCAGACCCCCTCTGAGCACCCAGGGAGACTGGAGATGGGCCCTGGGCCCACAGAGAAAGTGGGTTAGGATCCCACCAGCTCCCTGGCACCAAGCAAAGACCTTTTTAAATCTTCTCAAACACCACTTAATCAGGGGGCTCCATGACTCACTCCAACCGGCCAGGCCCCTCCCCCACCCCATACCTCCTGTCCTTCTCAACTCGCCAGCTCTCGGAAACCCGTCCAACCCGTCGGCTTTTCCGAAGTTTGGGAGGGCCGGTAGGCTGGCCGCCAGGCCTCTCTGCTGCTGTACACTTCACAAGGGACGCGGCCCCGGTGCCCAGAGCAAGCCAAGAAAGAGGACTAAGGGTCAGAGCCACCTCGGGGTTGGGTATGGTTGATCTTGGGGCCAAAGCCCAGAGATTTCTCCTCTGCACGCTGGGAGTCGCCACCTGCCATCTCACCATGGTGCCGCACCCCCACACACACCCTGAGTCCAGCTGGGTGCAGCCTCCTGGGTCGGAGGACTGAGTTTATCTGCGAATCCCAGGACGGCTTTCACGGGAGCAAGAGACTGCCTCTCCCCTCCACACCCAGAAGAATATCAACAGACATACGCAAAATAACAAGAACAAGGCGCTCGCGCGCGTTCCGAGCCACCTCTCCAGCGCTCCGGGGTTGTTTGGAGTCTTCCCGGCCGCCTTCTGGCAGCCACAGGTTGCTAGCGTGACCTCTCACTGCCCAGCCCCTCTCCGCCATCCTGGGAGTGCCCAGGCCGCGAGGAGTCATCTACCTTTTGTCGGCGCGGAGAAAGGAGCGCCGCGAGGAGGAGAATCAGAAGGGCCGAGCCGAGGCGAGTCTCCAGCCGGCCGGCGCACTGGCAGCCGCGCTGAGAAGAGGAAGGCCCAGAAGGGGAGCGGGCAGGAGTACTCACCGGACCGCTCCCTGCGCCCTCCCGGCCGATCCGCCGGGACCCGCTGAGCAACAGCTGAGCTCGCTCTTGTCCCCTATTGTGTGTCCGGAAAACCGAACCGCGGCTTTGGGCAGTGGAGCCACTGGCCCCTCGGCCGGAACAAGACTTTTTTTTTTTTTTGGTGTGTTTTTGTTTTTGAAGCTCAAGTTTTCGTATTAATCTCATACTTTGGCAGTCTTTGTTAAACAGCTAGGCGCGTCACGAGGCTCTCAACATTTTAATAATTTTTAGACGCCGTGACCTGCGGTTCACCCCTCTCCGGACCTCCCCCACGAGCAGGCAGTTACTATAATATGCTCACGCAGTTCGCTCGGTCATATTGAATTTTGCGCAGGTCATTACTTGGGAGAAAAATGACAGAGCAGGAATTTGATTCAGATCATCCTCTCCCGCTCCACTTTTTGCCAGAAACTTCTCTTTCCCTCACCCAACCCCCAACCCAACCCCAAAAAGTCCCTATTCAGATAGGATTCAGGCGCCCCGCCCCTGCTTTGATTTTCCATCATTTCTATATTTTTGTTGGCTCTGCTTTCTTGGGCAAGAGAGAGAGGGATCCTTTTGAGGCCTAAGAAGAGGCTGGTACCAGAAGAATTGAAAATGCACCGTTGGACATCTGGACGTCAGAGTGCAGGCCTGCCAGAGGCTCTGTTCCCTAAGCTTTGCCCTAAGTGCGTGCATGGGCAGGGCCCGTATTCTGATCCTATTACCCAGTTCATCTGCTCTATTTGCTCCCCTAAGTACCAGAAACACCCTCACATCTGCCAAAACTTTGGAGGCTCCAGGACCCCAGGAATGAGTCTTGCACCTCTTTGGGTGAAGCGCTTGGTCCACAGCCAGGCATCTGGAAAAGACAGAACCGTGGGAGAAGGGCTGGATTGCAATGGTCAGAGCTGAGGACTTACTTGGCTTTGGGGAGGCTTTAACTGTCCTCCCCTCTTTTTTTTTTTTTTTTAAGAAACCATTATCTATATCCTTTGCCTACTCTATCACCACCACAAGGAAGTTCAGGAGCATATCAAAGAGGTTTTAAAACACTCAAAAATTTTCTAGGGCTTGTTTCTTCAGGATTAAAATCTGGTGGAAAGTCTACAACACACCTCTCCCTTTCTCTAGCCCCCAGTGGACCTGCAGATTTAGGTCAGGTGACTCCTTCAGTGAGCTGGCACGTGGTATACCCCTATTATAGAGGGTTCTGGAAAGTGCTACCTATGGCACCCACCTTGGTCTGGGAAGGCAAGACCACTCCTTTCCCATCCCCAGGTCCTTTCATCCCAGCACCTTGGCCGACTCTCTAGTCTATTCCACAGATGCCTACACTGACCACCATTCTGTCCTGGAGAAAAGGAAGGAGACAGAAAGAGATGGATTCTTCAGTTCAGGCTTTGACCTTTGTGTCCTCAGGACCCTAGGAATTTCTCTCTGGCCTGACACCCCAGAGAAACTCACTTGAGAACTAAATAAAAATAGG